GTCGGGGGTTATCAGTGATTCCACCAGGGATGAAGTCCGTAACGTTCCATCGTATCACCAGCTCTCAGAAGGCGTGTGGAGATGGGAAGATGTACGTACATATGTAAGGCAGGGTGTGTGTGTGTGTGTGTGTGTGTGTGTGTGTGTGTGTGTGGACATGAATTAAGTACGCTGACCTGCATTCAGGACTGGAACCAGAGCGTCTGAAGGGACCCAGGGAAATGGAGCGAGAAAAGAAGAAAATAGAGAAGGAGGAGGAAGAGGAGGAGGAAGAGGAGGAGGAGGAGGAGGAAGAGGTCAAGGGTGTGTGTGTGTGTGTGACTTCACCACAGCTTTGTCTTCAGACACTGAGAATCTGAAGTCTGTGAAAAAACCCAGAGAGCTTCAAACAAACAGACGTGTCCACACATCGGCTCAGACACCGTCTGCTGTCAACAGCGCCCCCGTTGGTGTGAGGACGGAAAATAACAGTGGCTGCTAATTATACCGCGGGCCTGACTGAGATCAGGTTGTCAAGTACACTGTGTGTGTGTGTGTGTGTGTGTGTGAAACCTCCATGTTGAGTCAATCTGACTCTTATAGTTTTGTCTTGACCTTTGACCTGTTCTCATGGAGTAAATACAGTACTTTTACTGTTGGGCTGAAGGACAAAAATGTTCCGTGTGTATTATAGTATTATACACTGAGTACACTGTACACCAAGTATTTAGAAAGTACTTATTGATACAGTGAAATATTGCAGTATTTCATTTCACCTTCCTGTATCAGTATTCTCCATCACTACATGGATTTGTTTTGAGTGAACGCTCCGTTAGACGACGTACGGACGTCGTCCGCAGACGCGCGCGGCTCTTTATTATTATTTATGATAAAAGATATGACGCCAGAGGGGAAAACTGCGAGGACGAGGCACGAGGCTGAGAGAGAGAGAGAGAGAGAGAGCGGGAAACCTTCGGCCACCCACGTGGGCCTCCGACCGCCCCTTTAGCAAACAAGTCGTTTTGCCTGGCATCTTTAGTCTCATCTTTAAGGTAATAGAGTGGGGGAGGGTTGACGCCGCCCGCGGTCTGCGTTTGAATCCAGCGGAGTCTGATAACAGAGCGGACGCCACCAGATCGCTCCCAGAGCTGGAGCGGCCGGACCCGAGGTTTTTAATGGAGATAAAAGTGCTCCACGTGTTGCAGGGAATTCTAATCTGATATTTATCAGGCACTCAGCCTCCTTATCAATCACATGACCGACGTGCAGCGTACAGTGATGATGTCAGCGTGTGTGTGTGTGTGTGTGTGTGTGTGTGTGAAACTGATTTTTTCATCTCATCATTTTAGTCCTTGATTTTTCTTTGTCTCATTTTTTAAAAATAACTGATAATTATCAGAGCTTAGGGTTAGGGTTGTATTGTACCACCGCTGCCTCCAGTGGTCACTTGGTGTTCCTACTTCACCGTCTTGACTAGTTTGTCTCCATGTTCTTTGGTCTGAACTCTGTGTTTTTACAGCTGGTGAATCATGATTCACTTAGAGTTAAAGATTTATTTAGAACTACTACAAATTTGAAGTAAAAAAAATCAACATTTTAATATTATATAAAGGAAAAAAAAACATTCCCTTTCAGAAGATTGAGATGTTTGGTTAGAAATAAACAACTTTTATGAAAGTGATTCAAGCAGTAGTTACACAACAGGTAGGGTTATAAAAACAGGTTGAATAAAATAGATTTGTTTTTTTATAAAACCACTAAGAAAAAAAAACACTTAAATTAAAGTGAGTGCAGTTACAGTGGTAATGAGGAACAGAAAAGAAAATCTGAAAATGAACTCTGACGATGGAGGAGGTTTAGAAATAATCTGAAAAAAAAAATGAAAAACATGGACTTTTTTCTGACTCGATCTGCTGCAGAATTCTTCCTGTTTTTTCTCCCCGCTGTTGATAAAATGCTGTGTTGGATTTAATTTAGTTTTTAATGATATTTGTGAAGTGTTTTTTTTCTGCTTCACTTTGTTCTGACTTTGACATAAAAATTCACAGCTTTATTACATTAAATATTGACAATGAGCTGAAGAAAATCTGATCAACTCTGTCTCCTCTGGAACTGTCCCAGGTCCTGAAACGGGTCGTGAACTGGACTGCTTCTGACAGCATGAGGTCTGCTTCAAACCTCTGACCTCTGACCTTAAGACGCTCAACCCAAACCACTGAGGGTGGACAGACCAGGACCAGGACCAGGAGACAGACTGGTGTCAGTGCTGCGTCATGGACCGGAGAAAGGTTTACATCCTGATGACTCTGTGGGTCGTGGCCCACCTCGGCTCTCCAGGGTCAGGCCTCAGGGCCCTGAGACGGACTACCGTGGGACGGAGAGGATCTGGGGGACTGACAGGTCAGGACGCTAACGGAGTACCGCTACGACGGTCCAAACGGGGCTGGATGTGGAACCAGTTCTTTTTGTTGGAGGAGTACACTGGGACGGACATGCAGTACGTCGGAAAGGTAACAACATACAATCAATACAATAACTATACATATCACACCACCAGGGGGCGCTAGAGAGTTTTAGGTTGTCTTTTAAGGGCTTCAAACCAGCAATTCCCCATTAACCAACCCAATACTGACTCTGAATAGACCAGCACACCAGGAAAAGGTAGGGGCCACCAGGGGGCAGCACTGAAATCAAACGGACTGTGTTTATAAAAATAGATTTGGTGTCAAACTCTAAGACTTAGACCAGAGATTAGGTCGTTTTCTTCACTCTAATCTCACCATAGGTGTGAATGTGAGTGTGAAGGTGAGTGTGAATGTGAATGTGAGTGTGAGTGTGAATGTGAATGGTTGTTTGTTTCTACCTGCGGAGGCTGCAGCCCACTGCTGCTGTGTTAATCCCTGGACTGCTCCTCAGATGGGTCGGATCCCGAGTCACTGGTCTAAAAGGATGAATTGAGTAGAGACAAAAACCTGTGACCCTGTGTGACCCCGCCCCCACCTGAAGACTGCTGTGATTGGCTCCAGCAGAAGTGAGGGTGATGATTGGCCCCATTTTTCCATCTTTCCACCGAGGCTGCGTTTTTCTTTTTTTTTTGTTTTTTTTTTTTATAAACGATGTCTGTGAAGGAGCTTCACTCTGAACTCCAACTCTGAGCAGCAGCTTGTTTGGAGCAAACACAGAGTGAAGCACTTGTTAGTTGTTAGTGTGAGCTGCACACACACACACACAGAAAAACACACTCCAACCTCCATCATTAGACGAGTCGAGTGAATTCAAGTGATCGTTAGCTGAAAGTGAAGACACTGAAACTGAGGCGGCGACTTCAGCAACGCAAGATGAAGGAACGGGTTTGAGCCCAAATGAACAGTTTTAGCTTCTGCAGCCCAAACACACTCTGCTCGCTCTGTGTTTCTGTGTTTCTGTTTGTGTTCTTTTCTTCATCTTTGTTTTTCTTCACACACACAAACCTCACAGTCCAGTAACACAACAGTTTGTTTTCCTTAATGGACCGGTTTGGGCCTGTTCCAGGAACAAGGAACAGTACTGGGAACCAGGAACTGATTATGACTTTACGTCACTTATTTTTTGTTTAGTTTTGTGAATATTGACTGTGATAATAGAATAAATCACATTAGAACTCCTTGGTGCTGGAGCCTCAGCTGTTTGGTTTCTGTTACCTGTCTGAGGTCAGATGATCATGGTTTGACCTTTGACCTGAAGCTGCCTCTCCGTGATGGAGTTGGTGCAGCTCACTCTGGATGACACTGACATCTTCGTGAGACGAGCTCTCAGCCCGCTCCCCCCCGCCCTCCTCCTCTCTGAGCGACTCCCAGAGTTCATTCTTCTTCTGCTGTTAGTCCTTTATACAAGCTAAAAGGACGAGTGGAGCATCAATCACTGCTCCGTGAAGACAAAGTGCTTTGATCGTGACCTGGTACTTACTGTTCATCTTCATTCATTCTCTGTCTGCTGCTGCTGCTGCTGCTGTGTTTTTTCTTCTCTTTGGGGTATTTGCCCCCGCTGCCTGGTACCGTATCTGGTCTCCCATAATCCTTTTAGTCCCACTCTGAAAGTCAGCCCTCACTCAGGGAGGACGTATGTTGCTGAATCTCATTTGCCAGGACGTCTCTATCCTGCGCCGACACGCGACAGGAAGCACCCCCCACCTCCCCCTCCCCCCTCAGTCACCCTGACCTTGCTGCGACGCTGCACAATCTCCTCAATTACAGTAGCTCGGACCAGGGACCGACTGGAGTCTGAACCCCCTCTGTGCTGGTCGTACAGCAGGTGTTGTTTTGACTCGTCGTCCAGTCTGACCGACATCGGTACCGTGTCTGGATTTTTATATAAGTTCCAGTCAGAAAATGCATACAGTCCCTGCTACCAGGTTCCCCTCCTAGTCTCTGCTGCTTTTTATTTGCAATGGTACAAAAATACAGTTCCTGATTCCCTGAACAGTTCCTGGTTCCCTGAACAGTTCCTGGTTCCCTGAACAGTTCCTGGTTCCCTGAACAGTTCCTGGTTCCCTGAACAGTTCCTGGTTCCCTGAACAGTTCCTGGTTCCCTGAACAGTTCCTGCATGAGAAGCTGCTTGCTCTGCGGTGGAAATCGTTTTCTTTCGGTACCGATACCATCTCCAGTTCTTGGTTCCTGCTCCTAGAGCCAAAACACTTAGTTCTGGGTACTCTCTATCTTTGCTCAGGGTACTAGCTCTGAGAGTAAAAAAAAACACACCTTGTACCTTGTAATCTTGCAGTACAACATCCATTCCCATTTCCCCAGTTCCTGCAGCGGAGTACTTTCCCTCCTCCACTCAGGACCGCAGCGCATTCTTCTTATCTGATTGCAATTACTGTTTGTTAATTGCCAGATAACAGTAGCGATGAAGATCGAGTCCCTCAGGGGAATGAATAGCTGTTTGAGTTGGAGAAGAACCATCTGCACCCAGAGCCTCAGGTGGGGGCCGTGCTTCCACAATGTTCCGGGTGTAAAACACAAAAGTGAGTTGTTGTTTTGTTGTTTTGTTACTGTCTGTGACATCACTGCAGCGTAGGAAACCGAACCACTTTTGTTTGTGCAGAAAAATGACACAATGAACAGAAGGAAAAAAAAATGAAATAACAATAATGTTAATGAGATGAGGAGCCGGGATTAGAATTCCAACATCCTGTCGTTGGTTCTGAAGGAGCCGCACTTTTTCTTTCCTTTCTTCTCGGAACAAAAGCTTTTGTAGGAGAAAAAC